AGGGTCACCCTACTGGGCGGTGAGGTTAGTGCTCCTAGGGTCACCCTACTGGGCGGTGAGGTTAGTGCTCCTAGGGTCACCCTACTGGGCGGTGAGGTTAGTGCTCCTAGGGTCACCCTACTGGGCGGTGAGGTTAGTGCTCCTAGGGTCACCCTACTGGGGTGAGGTTAGTGCTCCTAGGGTCACCCTACTGGGCGGTGAGGTTAGTGCTCCTAGGGTCACCCTACTGGGCGGTGAGGTTAGTGCTCCTAGGGTCACCCTACTGGGCGGTGAGGTTAGTGCTCCTAGGGTCACCCTACTGGGCGGTGAGGTTAGTGCTCCTAGGGTCACCCTACTGGGCGGTGAGGTTAGTGCTCCTAGGGTCACCCTACTGGGCGGTGAGGTTAGTGCTCCTAGGGTCACCCTACTGGGCGGTGAGGTTAGTGCTCCTAGGGTCACCCTACTGGGCGGTGAGGTTAGTGCTCCTAGGGTCACCCTACTGGGCGGTGAGGTTAGTGCTCCTAGGGTCACCCTACTGGGCGGTGAGGTTAGTGCTCCTAGGGTCACCCTACTGGGCGGTGAGGTTAGTGCTCCTAGGGTCACCCTACTGGGCGGTGAGGTTAGTGCTCCTAGGGTCACCCTACTGGGCGGTGAGGTTAGTGCTCCTAGGGTCACCCTACTGGGCGGTGAGGTTAGTGCTCCTAGGGTCACCCTACTGGGCGGTGAGGTTAGTGCTCCTAGGGTCACCCTACTGGGCGGTGAGGTTAGTGCTCCTAGGGTCACCCTACTGGGCGGTGAGGTTAGTGCTCCTAGGGTCACCCTACTGGGCGGTGAGGTTAGTGCTCCTAGGGTCACCCTACTGGGCGGTGAGGTTAGTGCTCCTAGGGTCACCCTACTGGGCGGTGAGGTTAGTGCTCCTAGGGTCACCCTACTGGGCGGTGAGGTTAGTGCTCCTAGGGTCACCCTACTGGGCGGTGAGGTTAGTGCTCCTAGGGTCACCCTACTGGGCGGTGAGGTTAGTGCTCCTAGGGTCACCCTACTGGGCGGTGAGGTTAGTGCTCCTAGGGTCACCCTACTGGGCGGTGAGGTTAGTGCTCCTAGGGTCACCCTACTGGGCGGTGAGGTTAGTGCTCCTAGGGTCACCCTACTGGAATGGTACACATAACCTTTTCCTCCTTCGTTTATCCTCTTTACTTTATATTTTACTTTCTTGCATTAATTTGTATTTGAATTTCTTCATTTTAGTAGTAATGTAATTAGTCAGAGAAACTAATACTTGAGACTAAGAGAGAAAGAAAGACAGAAGAGAGACTGACTGACTGAGATAGAGAAAATATAGATAAAATGAGATGAAATAAGAGAAATTGCGAGTCTGAGATTAAGACAAGTAGATAGAAAAAGATCACACATTAAGACATAGATTCATAGACAAAGACAGAGACAGTGAAAGACATTGCCAGAAAACAAAGGCTGAGAAAGGGACAACAATCACAAAAAGCTAAGACATTATTAAGATACACACATACACTGATAAAAAAGGGAGAAAGAGGTTAGATGTACGAGGGGATATTAGATTTAGAAAAGGAAAGGGAGGTTTGGAGAGAAGGTGGATCTTAATCAAATATTTAAACATAACATACAAAGAGGAGAAAATGTATGAATTCACTTAAACAAAAACGATATCTGTAAAAGGTTAGGATAATATATTGCCCAAAAATATGTCCAACATAATAAACTACATATGAAAGGTTAGGTGAATGATAAAGAATAAGAACATGTTATATCAAACTCAATAAATACACTAAGATCTGAAAGAGTTTAGGTTAGAGGACAAAGTGTTTGTGAGTTGTGCTAGTTTCTCTAAGTTTATGTAATTTATGCAAGTTTGAGAGAATTTGTATATAAAAGAGAACTTGTGAAAGTTTGAGAAAATAAGTTAATGAACTTAAAGTATGTGTGTATGTGAAAGTCTGTATTTGTTTGTGTAGGTTAGTGAATTGAGTATTTGAGTAAGTTTTGTAAAAGTGTTTAAGTTTGTATAAGTTTGCTAGTGTAATTGAAATTGTAAGCATTTGTATAAGTTTGTAAAGAATTTGTATGTAAAATAGAGATTGTAAAAGTTTAGAAAGTGTGTATGTGCAAGTAAAATTTTGAAATTAGCATTTGTGTAAGTTGTATAAAAATTTGTGAATGTAATGATGTGTGTGTAAGTTTCTACATGTTTCGTATATAAGGAAGAGTTTGTGTTTTGTTTGTTTTGTATTTAAATAAGTTTATGCTAATTCGTGAATGTAAATGTATGTGTAGATGAGATTGTGGCAGATATTTTGTGTATTTATGCAATTTATGTAAAAGTGTCTGGGTCATGGGTATCTCATGTATGTATATGTTTGTAGCTGTAACTGGGAAAGAGTGTTGTCTGAACAATAAACTGATAAATAAATAATAAATGAGGAGTTGATGTTTCAGAGAGAATAAGATGATGCTTTTAATAAGTTATATTAAGTAAGATAAGTTAAGTTAGTAAGTAAGTTATGCAAGTTACATGTACCTTTGTATTGTTGATAGAAAGTTTTGTCAGACATATAATATAAAGTTACTAAAATTTATTGTATGAACACGTTGCATGACATATCTTAATAAAAAAAAAAAACCTTAATATATATATGACAGAGAAAACCTACTTCTCAATGGAAGTTGTATCAATAAGAAATGTTACAGATGATATAAAATTTTGTACATGATTAGTTTGAAATAATACTTAAAGTTGATTGTGACTACATAATGATGTGTAATGTTTCGAAGAGCATCCTTGATGTCTTTGAGATTATCTTTGATGGCTCTGAGTGTATCTTTGATTTCTCGAAGAGTAATCTTGATGTATAGAGACGTTGATGATTTACAGAGTAGAGAGACGTTGTGGATTTACACTTGAGTCATGGCAAAATATATTAAAATGCATGGAAACAGCTATTTTACAAGAAACATTTTTCCATGAGACTTCGTCTCACGGAACAGATAATAACAGAACATTACAGAGTAGATGTAGAACGAGTAATATGAGAGATGCAAAAACAAATTCAAATTTTTGCGGGAAAAGTTGAGAAGGGATGAGGGGAGGGGAAAGGTTTGGGTGGATTTTGGGAAGGGGGGGGGGGGTGAGATGCGGGGGAAGAAGGGGGTGTGTGTGTGAGAGGGAAGATAAGGGTGTGGGGAGCTGGGGGGAGTGAGGGAGGAACTAAGCGAGTGGGCGGGCATGGGTGAGATGATTAAGAGGAGGCAGGTGTAGTGTAAAGGAGGGGGAATGGAGAGAGAGAGAGAGAGAGAGAGAGAGAGAGAGAGAGAGAGAGAGAGAGAGAGAGAGAGAGAGAGAGAGAGAGAGGGAGAGAAAGAGATTATTTTATTTGGCGTGAGCTGACAATAATTACAATGATAGGCTTGGTATGGGCAGTTATCTCTACCTGTGCGTGTATTTACACAGATAAGCACACACGAGTATTGAAGGAGATGTCATGACTCGTGTTTGCCTACAGAGATAAGTATGTACTTTAATCTGGGATGAATGTTTATGTTGATAAATGTGAGGGTTGAGATCTAACTTACTTACTAACGTTCAGAAATAATAAGTTTCATGAATATTGAACTAAGGCAGGGAACATGAGCCAGAGCTTGGCAACTATCTCATTTGTTCTTAATGAGTCTGAAATATTTATAGTTTAATTCTTAAGGAAATTTAACTGCTAATAGCAAAAATACAAGAGGGAACTAAGGCAGGGGACATGAGTTGAAACTCGGTAACACTTTTTTTCTTACTAAGTCTGAAATACACCTGTTTTAAATTTTGCGGGGATTGATCTGTTAATAGCGAAGTTATAAGAGCGAACTAAGGCGGAGGACAAGAGCTGAATCTCGGTAACTGAATTGTTTTATTTTACTAAGTTAGAAATAACTATGTTTTAAATCTCGAGGAAAATGATCTGTTAATAGCGAAGTTATATGAGTGAACTAAGGCGGGGGACAAGAGCCGGAGCTCGGTAAATAACTTTATCTTCTTTACTACGTCCAAAATAACTATGTTTTTAAATTTGGAGGAGGTTGAACTGTTAATAGTGAAAAATACAGGAGCGAACTAAGGCGGAGGACGGGAGCTATATCTTGGTAGCTTTATTTTATTACTTCATCTGAAATATGATTGTTTTAAATTTAGAAAAAATTAAACTGTTAGTAGCGAAGATATAAGAGTGAACTAAGGCCGACGGTTGGAGCTGGAGCTTGGTAACTCTATTTTCTTTTTTACTATGTCTGAATAATGCCTATTTTAAATTTTGATGAAATTGGGCTGACAGTAGCGAAATTATAAGACTAAACTAAGGCTGAGGACATGAGCTAGAACTCGATAACTATTGTCTTTTCTTACTATGTCTAAAATATGTCTATTTTAAATTTCAGGGAAATTGGGCAGATAGTAGTGAAGTTATAAGAATAAACTAAGGTGGGGGACAAGAGCCTGAGCATGATAACTATTTTATTTATATGTCTGAAATATACCCTTTTAAATTTCAGGGAAAATATACTGTTAGTAGCGAAAATACACTTATATACGTATAGAACAGGGTCCAAGAACTAACATCTGATACTGGGAATTACTTAACAAACTCCTAATGAACTTATTCTCTGAAAATGGACTTCGTCTGACCTTAACTTTACTTTAAACGGGAACAGTAGAGTCAATTTTTTCTCAATAAAAATTCCTTAACACTGAGGAGACGAATTAGATGGGACTCCTATTCCCACCGATTTTAGGTTTACAAAATTAACCCTAAAAACGGTGACGGCGCAGAAATAAATTTTTAGGTCAGACCTTCGGACCCAAAAATGAGTGATTGTGCAACGGTAAGTTTTGCCCAAAACCAAAACTTACTGCTAAGCCGTCATTACCACTACTTGCTTGGAGAGTGTTGTGTGCCAGTGACTGTTTGGAGAGGGATTAACCATGGTATATACTTGTGTTACTGTTGCAGGCACAGCAGCTCGTGTGTGCCGCGCCCCCCGCCCCATACTGACCCCTTCAGCAACCCCCCTACTGCTCTACCAGACGCCCCCTGCTTCACCAACACCCAGGCGCCCGCCAAGCGTCAGGAGGGATGGTAATGACACACTCTTTCTTTCTAGTTCAGTTGTGAAGACTTTAGGAATGGAAAGTTTCTGTACTGCTTTTGGTCTAAGGTCTACAGCAGAGATTCCCAACCAGGGTTCCGCTGAATACTAGGGTTATATGTGCTCGTGTTTACCATTCCGCGAAAATTTGCAAAAGCTTGCAAAAAAAAAAGGTACAAATTGCCACTTTTTTGTAAACGAGTTCAAAAATTTAATTATTAAGGTTTTATCATACCCTATTAATAAAACATCGAAGCTTTTTTCAAATTTTGTATGATTAGATATGTATGTTAGTTATTATTTAAGCAGCGAGAGTTTTACTTGGAAGGAGAAATGTTGTTGAGGCGGAGGAGTTTTTGTTATGGTAAGGAAGTGTTGTAGCGCTAAGGAATTGTTGTAGTGGTAAGGAATTGTTGTAGCGCAAAGGAATTGTTGTAGCGGTAAGGAATTGTTGCAGCGCTAAGGAATTGTTCTAGCGGTAAGGAATTGTTGTAGCGCTAAGGAATTGTTCTAGCGGTAAGGAATTGTTGTAGCGGTAAGGAATTGTTGTAGCGGTAAGGAATTGTTGTAGCGGTAAGGAATTGTTGTAGCGGTAAGGAATTGTTGTAGCGGTAAGGAATTGTTGTAGCGCTAAGGAATTGTTGTAGCGGTAAGGAATTGTTGTAGCGCTAAGGAATTGTTGTAGCGGTAAGGAATTGTTGTAGCGCTAAGGAATTGTTGTAGCGGTAAGGAATTGTTGTAGCGCTAAGGAATTGTTGTAGCGCTAAGGAATTGTTGTAGCGCTAAGGAATTGTTGTAGCGCTAAGGAATTGTTGTAGCGCTAAGGAATTGTTGTAGCGCTAAGGAATTGTTGTAGCGCTAAGGAATTGTTGTAGCGCTAAGGAATTGTTGTAGCGCTAAGGAATTGTTGTAGCGCTAAGGAATTGTTGTAGCGCTAAGGAATTGTTGTAGCGGTAAGGAATTGTTGTAGCGGTAAGGAATTGTTGTAGCGGTAAGGAATTGTTGTAGCGGTAAGGAATTCATTCCTAGACGCTACTGCTGCGTCTTTTGTTTCTGTCAGAGCATTTAAAATTTGCAGGTTAACATTACAGTACACGAGTACAATATTAAGTTATTGCTGTATTCTTCTTTATTAAGTAAATGCTGTAAACATAATGCTAGAATTCCCAACGTTGTACTTGTGTGAGCAAGAATTTTCGTGCTTAACTAATATAAAACCAAACAGAGAAATATGCTGATGCCTGTAGAACAACAACTTCGTGTGTGTCTGTCAAAGATACGACCACCGATTAAATTGTGTTCAAAATAGCAAGGCCAAGTTTCACATTAAATTATAGAAAAAGGCAATCAATGTTATTCTATTGAAACTTGTTTTATTATAAATTGTAAATTAAATGAAGAACTATAAAATTGTCTTTCGTTAATAACTTAATACAAATGTTATATTAAACAAAATCGTTACAAAACATTCATAACGTTTAAACCCTAAACTCACACATCTGAAAATATAGGAGGCAACTACATTTCGGACCATTATGAAGAGTAGAAGACCAAGTCAATAAATAAGGTAAGAATGGGAGGTGAAAGGCGAAGAGGTTGACATATAAGATAAGAGTTAATAGAAATATTATAAATAAAAAAGATAACTAGAAGGCCTTATGACGAAGAAAAAGAGGTGAAATAGAGAAATAAGAGTCCCAAAGGAGCTAGAAGTAAGTGAGTTCACTTTTGTTAAGGTTAGATCATTCAACTCTGATGATATTTCAACAAGAGTTAAAACTATGGTCTCAGGACCAACCATTTCATGTCCCCTGGCATTATGAAGGGGTAGGATGGGGGCCAACCCCGACCCTCTCCCATGATATTATCCATAAATACGTATATATGACTTGTGATTTCTGGATTGTCTCACGTTGTCTCGCATGGGCCTATACTGACCTTTTGCTGTTTCCTGTTTTCTTATTTTTCTTATGTTCTTTCATGTGTTCATTTATATTCATAGCTTTGTGTATTGAATTTATGAATTTGTTTATATGATCCAATTGTACGTGTGAGAAGAAAAGGTTGACGGTGTTCCTTGGGATGTCCTCAGGTGCTCCGCCTTGACCTACGAACACTACTACTACATGACCGACCAAAGTTGCCAGGAGGAACGCAGCCCACTCTGCATGCTGGAGGCCGACGATGATGATGACCAACTTGATGAGGAACCTGAAGGGAAAGTCTGAGGAGGGGGAAGTCTGAGGAGGGGGAAGTCTGAGGAGGGGGAAGTCTGAGGAGGGGGAAGTCTGAGGAGGGGGAAGTCTGAGGAGGGGAAAGTCTGAGGAGGGGAAAGTCTGAGGAGGGGAAAGTCTGAGGAGGGGAAAGTCTGAGGAGGGGAAAGTCTGAGGAGGGGGAAGTCTGAGGAGGGGGAAGTCTGAGGAGGGGGAAGTCTGAGGAGGGGGAAGTCTGAGGAGGGGAAAGTCTGAGGAGGGGGAAGTCTGAGGAGGGGGAAGTATGAGGAGAGGATGACTGAGGAAGGGAAATCCTGAGGGTAAACCTCTAGGGGTTTATATATATATATATATATATATATATATATATATATATATATATATATATATATATATATATATATATATATATATTACCACTGTGTTAGATTATGTATAAATGTGTATTACTTTATGTATCCATGTATTAGTATATATTACAATAGATAACTATGTAGAGGTAATTAGTATGCATTTTAATGTTTAGCTATGTATTAGTGTGAATTAAGTATTATAATGTACTTAATATAGTGACATTAGGCCAGTAGTAATTCATTCCTTACTTGTAATCATTCGACTGCTTATGTGGGAAATCATATCCACTATATAAAAATCATATCAGAATCACTTCAGATTCATTAAATCCTACATCTGGATCCTACATGACAATACCACTATGATCACATACATCATAGGGCCCATGGTGCCTACGTAACTTTGTGCATAGAAGCTTCAAGAAGAATACAGTATCTTAATTAAAAACTATTGGAACAATCAATCGATTTCTGCTAAGGATTATATCAAATCCTTAATAAGAATCAATAGTACTCTCAAGTACTATCAATAATCTATGAATCTTATATCTAATTATATTATAATCACATCTTATCTTAATAATATGTCTAGACAGTAAAAATAATCAATCAATATTCATTGAAGGCTTCCTCGCTCACAGAGCGAACTCGGACTTCAAGCGCCCACGACAGGATCACCCGGGGAGAGAACATATGTTTACAGAGTAAACATGTGATGGTGCCTTGTGAACATTTTCAGTAGAGGACACCATATTAACTTATCATTATCACCAGTGATTACTCTTTAGAACTGAGGGAGTACCTGGACTATGTCTATAGGGAAAAATTCCTAGTACTTCATCTAAGTAAGTGTGTAGAGTGGAGCACACCAAGTGATGCCGCCTCCACCTCCACAATCAACTTAATCTAATCCTACTGCAAACACAATTAAGGGCATAATAAATTAGCAAAGCTACCTGAATAATAAACAAAGCTGTGACATAAAATATAGTGCCTAAACCTGAGATTACACACAATCACAAAAGCGTGATGTATAAAATAAACAAATCCACAAGGGCCGTGACGAGGATTCGAACCTACGTCCGAGAGCATCCCAGACGCTGCCTTAATCGACTGAGTTACAACACGGTATAAGAATTGCAACCAGAAATTCTACTGAATTTACTTGGATCCTGCAGCCTCTCCGAGACACAAACCAGGATTTTACACAACTCCCCCCTTGCACTCGAGCTGTCAACAGGCCGATCTACCTCTTCGCCCTTACTTCATTACACGGTATTGTGTAATGATACTGATACATGACGCTATTGTGATTTCTATGAGTAATGAAGTAAGGGCGAATCTTGGGTAATCTTGAGGTTACGGACCTCCGGCCGTAACCTCAATTCTCTCCTTCGTTTCCTGGTCGCCAGCTGGGTGATCCTCTCTGCGTCCCACCAATACCTTTATTTCAAGTGTATCACCGTGTTGCCAGCCATAGTGTCTCTTTTCCATATAATGCCAGTGCTAGTGTAGTGCAAATTAATATCATTTATTCACAATGTTCAATGAGATGGAGGAGTTACATAAAAGTACTAATAAAATAATAAAGTTTACTTAAGAGCAAACTAATATGTATGTATGTGTGTATATATATATATATATATATATATATATATATATATATATATATATATATATGTAATAATAATAATAATAATATGCTAGCAGTCTTTCTTGTAGACATATATTATTGAACATGACACAGGATGAGATGAATGATTCTTGCAGGAGTCCTGTGCTATATAGTCTTCCCTACTCGGCGCCTTCTTTTGATAATTACTTGCACGAATCTTCTCTATTTTTCTTATTTGTTTCTTCACTTCAGGAGGACGTTAACAAATTAACTCAACAAGGTCAATTTTACAGATTTATTATAGCCTGACGCTAAGACATGCGTTTTGTTGACCCTTGTTAACATTATCAAAAGCAGAGTACACGTTGTTAAAACTTAAGAGCAGCCGAATATACGACCAGGATTGAGGTGAAGCACCTCACTGTGGGCCAATAGTGAGGTACCAGACTACACTTCAGAACCTAAAACTGGAGCATACTTACCTCCAGTTCACGGGAGACATCTCCCGTCACGCAGGGTGCAGTCGCACCTCCACAGATCTCCAGTATCAGCTAATGATACTAGTAATGGCTCAAAAGGGCCACCACTTACGGGCTATTTATGCCCGTGCCACCTTTTGGGTGGCTTAATCTTCATTAATCAATCAGTGGTTGAGAGAGAGGATACACAGCCTCGCTCCTGTGCCAGGTAAGTCCACTACGGGCTCACCATAGCCCGTGCTACTTGCCCCGCTCCTGTGCCAGGTAAGTCCACTACGGGCTCACCATAGCCCGTGCTACTTGCCCCGCTCCTGTGCCAGGTAAGTCCACTACG